GGCACCGAGTATACCGTGGCCGCCGACATTTTACTCGTTCGGTTCGAACTTTTTTCTGATTTTTCTGATTTTTCTGATTGTTGTGTCCTATAGGTGTCATCTTGTCCGAGATGAGTACCCACAAGGTGCCTTACAGCGACGCGCTCAATGCGTCGTCCGGCCGAGCACTGAGTCAGCAAGCCATTTTGTCCAAAGTCACATCCGGTGCACTGCGACCCACGTTTGCGGCGGCGGCACCTCATTGGCTGCTGGAGGTCGGCTCTCGCTGTTTGTCGCTCGACCCGACACAACGACCGACGACGCTCGAGCTGACGGTGCTGGTCCGCGACTTTGGCATAGCTGTCGCCGAGTACGATCAATGCGAGTGATGAGCCATGTAATTTGAACCGATTATGATTTATTCAACCACGATCGCATCAACTTTGAAATGAAAAATGTGTGAAAGGACTGGAGTATCCTTGGATTCCGACCTCACAGTAGCTCTGACGCTGACTGAGCCATGAAGCGCTGCACCAAAGTCCCGTCGCATGCACTGATGGCCCATCTTGCGCACCCACATTGGTGCCTCATAGACTTGAACGCTGGTCGCAACTCCCCTGCCTTCACCTTGACTATGATAGACTGTTGTGTGTAGGCGCGGCACGGCGTGCAACTCAACTCGGACATGATGACGCCTACATCGTCATCATGATGAATCCGTGAACCCCAACCCTCATCGGTATCGATGTTTCTTTTTAATATAGAGTACCAAACGAGTAAATGTTGGCGGCGATCGTATCGTCGATGCTTAAATGACTTTGAGGGTCATCCACTAGTACACGTGCCAAGGCCGTTGGTCCTGTTGCCGTCGCCCGCTTTGCGAGACGCGCCAAAATCCGAGAGCTTGGTCCGCTTCTTGGAATCCACGAGGACATTTTGGGACATGAGGTCGCGGTGGAGGATCGCCGGCTCAACCGTGTGGAGGTAGACGAGACCGCGGACGATGCGCAGGATGGTCGCCGTCTTGAGGCGCCAGTCAAATGGAACAGATGACGATGTTGTCATGAGGTAATAGTTGCAGAGGTCACCAAGGTCCATGTGCTCGGCAATGACTTCCATTTCGATCGGCCAGCTGCCAATGAACGCGACAATGACATCACTGTCCATCCTCGTCCACAGTGCATGAGACAATATTACCATCATCGAATAGCTACAACGTACTTGGCCATGAAAGTGATTTCGTGATAAATTTGCGGACGCTCTCGACACGGCGGTCCTTGGTGCGCGTGATCGCGACCCTGGCGTTGCCGGGAGCCAGACATCGCCGAACCACGGGTTTCCTGAACCAACTAGTAGCCATCCATCAAAGCCCACCTATTGGTGTCAATACGAAGAGTAGTGTGCTATACCTGTTTGCGGACCAGCGTCGCAGAACACCCGTGGACAGCTCCATGGAACACCCATATATACATAGAACACCCGTGGACAGCTCCATGGACTTGTACTCATTTTAAAACATGTTGTGGCGGGCAGCTGCCACGTTCTGTCACGTAATTGGTCCAAAATCAATTCGTTTTCACCAATCACACGCACGTCCACATCCTCGTATCCGTATGAATTGGTATCCGGAATCCATGCCACCATCGCGCACGGCGTCGGCGATCGCCGGCCGCGAAGGCGCTCGCATCGTCTCCACGGGCGCCATATGGGGCTACGTCATCGTGGGCCTCTCGTTCGCCTTCTTTATGACCTTCTTGTACGTCTACCATGCTGCGTCATGGGCCTCATGCTGGCGAACGCAGGTACCTCATCGTCGTCGCCAAGCTCCTGCCACCATCCGACGACCCGTCGCGCTTTCCCATGATGGAGACCATTCGCCAGGACCACTTTTACTGCTACCTCATCCCGCTCACGATTCCCGCGGGTTTCATCGCCATGTACATCAACTGGGTCAGCCTCAAGTACTTTCGACACAACTAAGATCTCAATGACGCCTGTGCAATCACGTCGCCGTGTTGCTACTACTCGTATGGCCGACAAAGGTGGCATTCTGGATCAGGTTCTTCTCCTTGGCCTTGCGGAGGAGGAAGCGCAAGAACGCGGCTTGGCGCGGGCAGCGCTTGATCGACGCCAGCTACATTGAACCACCGACACCAGTTGAGCGCCAGCCGGCGATGCAGCAACACGTACCGAGAGCGTCGCTGTCTTGGCCGCGGCCGCCTGCGCCACCTTGACGTACTTGTTGAACTTGGCGCTGTGCTCGGGGTACGCTTCCGCGTGCGGCCCAATCTCGTAATTGAACAGGTTGAAGCCGACGACGACGCGGGATGTCTCCGAGGGCAGCGCTGAGACGGGGATGCTGCCGTGAGGAAAGTTGCCGTCCATGACGATCCCGCGCTTGTACTTGTACGGCACAACGACGTAGGATGGATCGGTCGTCATCTACCAAATCATCCTCCTGACATGTCCATCTCGCATCGGGATGGATACCTGTTCCAATGGCGGCAGTGGCGCCAACGACTCCTTGTAGCCATGCTCCTACATGGCTCTAGTACGGTTGCACTGCCAAATGTTAGTACCTTGTAGTGGTCGAGGCCGCGCGTGTTGGCGTAAAAGGCGCCGCCCTCCATGTGCGACTCGGGCGTCTCGTTGAGCCGGCTCACATGCAGCGTCGCGCCGTACATGGGCGGGTATGTCACGTTGGTCTGGTACCTAGCACGCCAAGACAACACATATCGTCCATCGTGAGCTAGACAAGATTGTCTTCGCATACCGAAACATCTCTGCATAGTCCATGTGGTAGGCGACCGTGTCGCTCACCGTCGACGTGATGACCCATACGACGACGCCGTGCGTGTTCGCCCAGTCGGCCGCCGGAATGCTCGCCTAGGCCACGCTCGAGGGACGGCAGCGAGAGGCCATGGTGCTACTACTACCTCGGCGTTGAGGAGGAACGCGCGGATCGTGCGCAGCGCCAACGTATGGCGCGCGTGGTCGTCCTTGGTGGCGGGGTACGCTTCGAGCGACCGGTCGAAGACATCGCTGGTTCGGATGTAGACGCCCCACACCTTGGCAGCGACCGCGCTCTCGTACAGCGCGGCCGCGACCGCGTCGGGCACGGCGTTCTCGACGACGCGAAAGAGGCCCGGCGACGACTTGGGCTGGTCCACGACCATTTTGCCTAGGTATCGTCAGCCTACGAACTTTGCGGTGGGCGCACCTGGCGCCGGCGCGGCGTCGGTGGCTGCCGCGCCCGACGGGCGAAAGCCATCGTCCCAAGCGACAACGTGGCGGTTGGTCGTGACCCATGCCGGCAGCGACGTCTCGGTCATCGTCGTCTCGGCTTTGGAGAAAGTGAAGATCCGTGGCCTAACCGGATGTCATGGGTGTCCGGATACGACGACCCCTGTCGGCGAGTTGCACAGAGAGACGGCGCGACCTCGCGAAGAGTAGCACACGCATCCACGTCGTGGCAGTTGCCGAATCTTGTCGGCGTCGTCGGCTGCAAGCGGCCAGAAAGGACAGCGTGCGTTGGTTCGTCTCTCTCGCCGAGCGTTTGATGCACTGTATGGCTTCCCCGTGGTGTTGTTTACGGCTGCATGGCAATGGCATCGGTATGCTCAAATGCTTTCAGCATACCAAGAACGCTTCAAGTTTAAGCGTTCTTGGGTGCTGGGTCTCAAGTGCCGTCGTGGTTGCTTTGTCGGTTCAAGTGCGCTCGCTGCAGCCGCCGCATGCAGCTTGAGACGCGTCTTCGTGATGTGGTCGCCACCTCCTCTTTCCGGCAAGACTAATAGAATGCAGCAGTCAAACGAGCTGCGCCCAGCAACATGAAGCCCTTTCCTCCTCCTTCCATGTGCAATGTCATGACGTGGCAGACACATATCGTAGCATGGCATGCAATCTCATCAATTGTCCTCTTCGTACGGCGGCGATTCCTCCTGCATGTGAACCATGTTGCATGTGGCATTATAGGCAAGTGTCTACCACTCGCGATTCGCGATGAGCGACTCGATGTCAAACTGCAGGAAGCCGTACGCTTCCGCAATGCACCCAATGTCGTTGGCGATGCACTCGCGCGCGACCGTGTCGATCATCGATCCTTGCTCGTTGAGCTCATCTTCCAGCGCGTTGAAGCCCGCGGTCGTCGCATGCGTGAGCTGCTCGAGCCCGTCGAGCGTGAGCGGCTTGGCGTCTTCGATCGCTGCGCAGAGCTCTCGCAGCAAGGTCCGGCCCTTCTCGATCGAGCTCGCCGGGTAGAACGTGCCGCCACGGAGCTCGGCGAGGAAGTCGTATGCCGCCATCTTGGCGTTGGAGATTACCATGTTGCTGATTAGATTGCAAGTCAGCAGCTGGTGTCACGTCGTATGCCGAAAATAAAACGCCACTACCGTGAGCTGGGACACGCACGCCCATGACGTGGGCATGCCCCGCTCGTAGGAATTGTCTAATTCCCTACAGCAAGGAGTCGTGGCGTGCGGTTTTTGCAAGGACGTCAAGCGATTGCACGTCAGCAAGGTCCTCGGCAACCCGACCCTTCCACGTGGATCCCAACCCCTTTAAATGTGGCACATGCCGAATCTAGGAATCTAGTCGTCGGCCCCGCCTGGTCGAAATTTGTCCTTTTTGGGTTGGTGGTTTGTCCGGCCACGGAGCGCGATGACAGGGATCCCTTGCCGCGTGTGCCACTACTTCAACCTGCCCATCATGAACAAGTGCGTCATGTGCAAGGCGACCATGCCGCCCGATAGCGAGAAGGTGCAGATCCTCTTCGAGCAGGTCCAGCGGCTCGAGACGCAGCTCGCCGCGTACGTCAACGCCGAGGTCGGCCCACCCAGCGTCGAGCCGCCGCCGCCGCCGCCAAGCGAGAAGCTGCCGCCCAAGGCGCGCATGGTCTTTTACAACAAGCGCGACCAGTACTTTCGCGACCCGACTCTCATGGCCCAGCGCCTCGATGCGACGCGCAACCATGCGCCGCTGCCATTCCCCAACCAGCGACAACTCTCGTGCGTGTGGTGCTGCCGGGCCAAGCACACGACGACGATGGGCAACCACTCGCGCCACGGCTGCAAGACGAGCGTTCACTGCGCCGAGTGCAACGTCGCGCTCTGCCAGCGCGATCGCGGCAACGGCGGCGTCTCGTGTTTTGACCAGTTCCACGCAGCACACGAGCTCAACAACCCATGCCAACCGAGCAGTAGTAGTGAGTGCGTCGCGCTCGCCAGTAGTAGCAGCAGCCTTCTCCCGACCAACGGTACCGCCCTACTGACGACGGCTATGACGACCGTCGCGCGGCGAAAGACCCCGACAGTCACCAAGGTCCCGCGCGTCCGCTCCAAGAGTGCGTATGTCCTCACGACGCTGCCGCGGTCCAAAGGCGGCGAGTCTATTTAAACGCAACTTGAAATTTATGGCCTCCATCGGTGATGACGACCACACCAGACGATCGCCGTGCAGCCAACGTTTATCCCGCTCGCCGTGTGGACCTGCAACCACCGTGTGTGCACCTTTAACTCGACGTTCTGCAGTATGGCTATCGTCAAGTAGCAGACTGCCCAAGCCAAGTAGATGACTGTTGAAGCCCGCCTGCGACGCCGTATGACCGACCCGTTTGTATCATGCACGACCTCAGACGACGAGTCGGATATAGAGCACACCCTTAGCAGCAGCAGCAGCTAGTCAAGACGTCCAGCGACATAACAACGTGGCGACCGCGCGGGTTTTTGTCGTCGCGCTGCCACGTCAGTGCGCCACTTCTTTGGCCTTCTAGGTTGGGCGAAAAGAACCACACACTGCAAGTGGTAGCCACCGCGTGGTCGCAGCCATGCAGTACTATCCTGGCGGCGGCAGCGTCCGGATGGCGACCGTCGGCGCGTTCGAGAGCCATCCTGGCGCGCCTCGAGTGACGCGAACGCCATCGACGTCGAGCTGCCCGCACGCAGCGACGTTCGTCGTCGTTCGAGGGCCTCGCTGGTTCGGCGTGCTCTTTGCTGGATCTCGCGTTCAAGCGCGCGCGTTGGAAGTTCACATGCACTGTCGCACCAATGTTTGGCTCGAAAAACGTAGAGGGTTGGGCCGATGGGCGGCGAGGCTATTTCCACGCCATTTCACCGCGGGCGATGCCAAAGAAGGGGATCGCGTGCGGCGGAGTGGGCCTTGAAGGCACAGCTGGCGCGCGTCTTGTCGCGTTGGACGCTCGATGGCCACCCGCGACGCGCATGGAAGCGTCCTGTTCGCCGTCGCTCGTCGACTTCGGCACCGATCGTTGCGTGTTTCTAAACGCTTGGTCGTGCCCAAGTGCGCGCGTCTCAAGCGCAGACAGGCGTAACAGGCGCCAGGTGGCGTGACCATCACAAGAACGGTATACAAAGGGCAAGGTCACGACCGGCCAGCCCGCGATTGGTGGCAATCCGAAGCGACGAATTCCTTCGCCCACGTTCGTGGCCGTTCACTGTAATGTCTACGG